GGCTGGTAATGCACCTGCACCACGATGTGGCAGAAAATGGCCACCATTTTTTTTTAAAGCATGGCTAACGCCAAAATTAATTATGAATGGGCTGCAAATGCAACACAGATGAAAAAACATGCATGACCCACTTTTTAAAGTGCAGTGTAAGCCTTGTTGTGCAGTGTGATGCGTTGTGTATTGTACTGTACAATGTGTTGGGATGCCATTCACAATGAATGGCATCTCAATGCACCGCACATAGAGCAGGTGGGTTGCCATGTGTTGTGGAGAGACACGTGCATTTTAGCCTGCGTTGCCACAACACACAAGTCTAATGTATCCTCGTGTATCACTTCCCCCTCCTCCTTTAGATTGTAAGCCCTCAGGGGCAGGGCCCCCCTTACCATCTTGTCTTGAATTGTATTGTGATTGTAATGTCTTCCAAACTGTTGGCGCTATATAAATCCTATATAATAATGGGCCCCTAGATGTTTTAACACATGGACACCCCAAACACCCATGCTGGGGAACATTGCTCACACTCATATGGACTGAAGAATCTCCCTGGAAGAGACATGAAATACAGAACAAGTCCAGCTGAATGCAACCAGCTAACGACCTGCACGTGACGCCATTCTCCAATGTCTGTGTTTACCACTAGGTGTCGCTGTGCTCACAGAAGAAACGTCATCCGCTGGCCATCAGTCCTGATCTGCCTCTCCCCGCTAATTGTATGTCGGATTAGTGACTCATTAGGCCAGACGGTAATTACAGATGCTGGTAAAGAGGGGTGTGTCCCCGTCTAATACTGCAGACACACCGCTGTGCCTCTGATGTTCTATTACTCCAACTTATGCTCACCACACTCAGAGACTTTGATTTACTAAAAGGCAAACAGGCCGTGCCCTTTGCAAGGGAAGTTTCCCTTTGTTAGAGGATGTGGTGACATTTCACTTTACAAAGAACACCCAATTACGTGCGAGGAAAGATTTAAAAAAAACAACAGATTTTGCTTGCACATGATTGGATGATTGAAGGCAGCAGAGCTTCACCTCATTCACTAAGCTAAGGGAAATCTTACCTGCAAAGCGAACGGCCTGCTTGCCCAAAACACAACACTATAGTGTGAAAGGGTCCTTTAAACCAGTAGTTCTCAACCCGTGTAACCTCAGGAAACCACGTTTGTCCTTGGTCATTAGGTCGCGGCCCAAGTCGCACCTCAGCCGCGGTGGGCTTTTGTGCCGTGACGGAGCTTCCTCCATATGTGCATTGCTTGTACAGCTCCCCTGTGGGCCCTGTAGGAGGTACCAGGAGCCAGAATGCGATGTCACTTCAGTCCGGGCACCTCTACAGGGCTCACTAGGGAGCTGTAAGCAATGTATGTATGGATGGAGCTCCCTTACAGCCATACCCCCAAGCCCACCCCATCTCAGGTTGACACTCGGTGCTGGGAAGCATATTATGAATGGCGGCTTGGCGTGAGAACGGACAGTGCTGCGCTATGGGGGAGGCTGAAGAACCTTTCATCTAGCGCAGTGGAAGTCACATAGCGACCCACTGAACACGGGGTTGCGACCCACTTTTGGGTCACGACCCACCAGTTGAGGACCACGCCTTTAAACCAACCACTCTCCGGCACAATCCAAAATATTAACCGTAATACTGAAAAAACAAACAGGGAACCCTAAACGATGCAACGGGAGAAAACACACCAGATATTTAAATGAAATGTTTATTTTCTTAAATAACATTTAAAAACAAAAGTTAACATCCAGACTAGCGGCCCATTCACACTATCGCATTTAATGTGCGCTAACGCAGGATCACGGCAGACTTAAAGCACTATTATAATTTACAAAGCTCTTCCCCATCAGTGTGTTGTGTTGGAGGTCAGTGGGTTGCATCTATGAAGAATCCTGCTTGCTGCATCCGTTGTGCATTTTTGTAAAAGCACACGGGTTATTCCAGTCAATGGTAATGCAAGTCACATGTCCACATCTCCAAGGACACAACCCACAAAATGGAGAACGGAAATGCCGAATATATCCTCGCGCTACATTTTAAACGCAATGCATTAAAAACATGCCAAAAAAACAGCATTACGTGCTTTGAGAAAAATGCAAGTGTGTTTTCTAACACGATGGTGTAAATGGGCCCTAAAGGGTCATCAGATGCTGATCAGTCTATAAAAAAACATAGAAGTCATAACAAGTGAGCCCTGGTAGAGGTAAATGAACAATCTGCATTCAATGTGGTCACTATGTGGTGGTTAACTGAACCTTTATTGATGATCACATTGGGTTATTAGGAATGGTGAGCTCAGTATGTATATACATTTATGTGGTGCTGACCACACTGGAGAAACACTCAGACCTGTGCTGACCACACTGGAGAAACACTCAGACCTGATGTTTGGGCCCGAGTTGTATGCTTAGTGCAAAGGCCCCAGTTATTAAGTGGGTGAGCCTAGGGGTGTTATGTAGCTAGTGTCCACATAGTATCACTACGCTGACCAGATACCCCTTGGGAGCATACAAAATTGGGTCAGGCCGGTTGGCTGGAGTGAGGGGTCTTCATTGATCTAAATCATGGCCACACTCTCCATTAGAGGTCCTGCAGGTTGGCTGGAGATGGGTCTTCATTGATCTAAAATCATGGCCACAGTCTCCATTAGAGGTCCTACAGGTCGGCTGGAGTGAGGTGTCTTCATTGATCTAAAAATTGTGGCCACACTCTCCATTAGAGGTCCAGCAGGATAGCTGGAGTGAGTAGTCTTTGTTAACCTAAACATGGCCACTTTCTCCATTAGCGGTTCTGCAGGTTGGCTGGAGTGAGGGGTCTTCATTGGTCTAAAATCATGGCCACACTCTCCATTAGAGGTCCTGCAGGATAGCTGGAGTGAGTAGTCTTTGTTAACCTAAACATGGCCACAGTCTCCATTAGATTCCCCAACAACTATGTAGTGAGGGTCTTCCTCAAAAATCCATACCATCTATATCCAATCAAGTAATGCCTCACAGAGTTGTTACACCTAAAGGAGATCGTAGTCATATGGAAATATGCGTGGCCAGCTTAAGACCAGCTTCAAAGTCAGATTCTGTTCTTCATCCGATCTACATTATTAATGGGACTAACCCATTCATACTGTATCCATATTGGGCAGACCCTCACAGGACACATTTATTGGTAAATTTGGTTAATCTGCCAGATTAAATGTGAAACAAAGTTTGACGGTGTGTGACCAGAAGAACTTCCAGACTGCCGCCTATTAATTAGAATGGACACACAGTCCCTATTTAAGTTAAAATGGGCAAACCGGAAAGCCACAGTCATTACACCAAATAGTAACCACACAAAAGCCAATGCAGTGCAAACTTTCTATTATTAAAACTTAAGTAAAAACATGGACGTTTTACGGGAATTCATATACGGTTTATGTGTCACCAGATACCATTTCTCAACATTTCAAAAATAAACAGTTAGGCATTTGTAGTCCAGTGTGTTTTCAGTCACTTTACCAAAAACCCAAAGAAGAGCCAGGCCAAACATTTAGGGCTCCATGGTACACAATTCAACATACAGAGACAGGAGAAACATCAGAGGAAAAGACCTGCATGCAGAACTTTCTATTAGACCCAATGGCAGTGAAGACTGGAGATCCAGTCCTAAATAATAACCTATTGTCCTCTGTATCTATGGCTGTGAAACGTCATTAAGGAGGACAGGGAGAAACGCCAACACTCCAGGGCACATACACAAAGCTGGTGTTTGGAAAACCTTCATAAACACGTTTGTGACGGAGCAAGGATAATCTTAAAAAGGGACAGTCCACCCCAAAACTCCAGGAATCTAGGGTGGGCTGCATAACCCATGGTCTTTTTATATACCTCTTGGGAACTCCACCTAGTGGATTTCCTCACCATAGTTTCTGACACTGTTCCAATCCACCTTAGAATATTGCTACTCCTCCTTCAGTATACAAAATATATCCCAAGCCTGGATGTCTGTTAAAGCCATTAGGAGGGCGACCCAACTCTCCTTCTACTAGTTTTAATTTTATCCTAATGTGAGAAGAGTGATGGGGACACTTCAAATGGTGGGCAGTAACAGAGCCAGTACATCAAACTATGCAGTTCACCAAGAAAAACAATTCCATCAGATGGGCAACTAAGCCCACCAGAATGCACTTGTAACAGAAAGGTCACTTATGGGTGGACTTGACCCAATTTTGTATCTAAAGCTACATTTGGTTCTAGCTCCCTTTGGCACAGTCAGGTTTGTGCTGCTGTCTATGCCACTGCTGAGAAGATTCACCCCATTTGTAATGGTGGACATTGGTTATTGGACTAGGAGCAGAGGGGAAATTGTCCAACAGGGACACCTGTTCTTGTGACAATTTCTATTTTACTTTTGGGCAAATCTCCATCTTCTTCTGGTGTCCAGGTGAGGGAACATCTCTCAATGAGACACAGAAGGCCAAAAAAAACCTCACCGGGGTTTAAACCATTCTCTACTCTATCCAAAATTAAAAACTAAAGGTGTATCTACTAGAGGCAAATATTGAATTATGTTCTTTAGGCTTTGTCGGCTTTTTGGTACAGGGTTGGAACAGTCATGAGGCCATTGTTGAGGTATACATATGCATTAAAGCTACATATAAGAGACAGAAAAGTAGAACGGGATGAGAAAGACCTCCAACTCTGGAGACCTCGATTATTCCAGTAACAGAGTATTTAAATGACGACTTTTCAGTTTATATTCTCATCCCACAGAAACATCTTCTTGGCCGCTATTTTGTTCCCCGTTTCTAGCTAGCTTGCTGTCTGTTGTAATATTTTAGCATTTATAGCTTTACCCATCATCATTCTTCACTTAGTCTGTCCCTCACATCAAGTGGTAAAGTGTCCAGTAACGAAGGATCCGCTATAAAACCCGACTTCTTAAGAGCAACACATGCTCCAAGTTCCCGAGGCAAAATATCAATCAAGTTCCCTTTTATTTCAAGCCTCACTAAGGACACAAGAGACCCAATTTTGGGGGGCAAGCTTGCCAGTTTATTGTTTGCCAACTTCAAAGTCTTAAGCCTATGGCAGAAGAAAAGCTCATTGGGAAGATCTTCTAAAAAGTTTCCAGTCAAAGCCAAGTACTGCAACATCTGCAAGACTCCAACTTCTGGGGGTAACTCTCGGATCTCGTTGTGGGAGAGGTCAAGGTGGCGCAGCTTGGTACAAAGGAAGAGCTGAGGTGGCAATACAAGAATCTTGTTCCGATTCAAGCACAGCTCTTCTAGTACCTTTAATTTACGGATGTGTTCAGGGATGTAAGCAATGTGATTGTGCCAAAGTCGAAGGACACTTAGCTTTCGACAGTGCTGCAGACTTATGATCTCCTCGATGGTGTGTAAGTTATTGTCCTTTAGGTCCAGCACCTGTAAATTGGTAAGGCTAAAGACTGCATGGGGTATACGTCCTAAATCACATCGAATCAACTCCAGTTCTTTCAACAGAGAAAGCCTTTTTAAAGCATTAAGAGTGAGAAGCTTCGTTCCATCATTTTGGATACTAAGTTTCTGTAAGTGGCTAGCCACGTCTGTAACTGTCTGGGGTACTTTAGAAAGATTGCTCTTCAGAAAAAGGACGTTAAGGCCCTTTAGCTCCCGCAAGCTCTCCAGAGTAGCGGTTTTTGAGAGGTCTTGGCACAAGAATCCAATCAGGTGGAGCTCCTCAAGGGTACGAAGGCTAAACACCCAAAGAGGAATCTGTTTAACATCGTCAAACTTTATCTCAAGGATCCTGAGGTGATCGCGTAGGTAAGCCAGGGAGGCATGCTGCACTTTGGCTCGGCAGTTGAACAAGGACAATTCTTCCAGTCTGACGAGCTTGGACACCAGAGGCGGGATCATAGCTTCAGTCAGCATTTCAAGTTTTAGAGATTCAATCTCCGTCACCTCAAATACGGTATCTGGCAATCCCGGCAGCTTAAAGAGATGTAGCTCCAGGCGGCCTTCTGGCGTTTGCTGAAGTTTCTGTCTAAGTTTATCGGCTGGCCACTCGTGGTTAAGATTCAGCTGTCTCAATCGACCTTCACTGACCTCGGATAAAAAGACTGCAAACCTCTTAGAGTAGAGAGAATCATACTGATCCACCAAGTGGAAAACAAATGCAAAGTCATTTTTGACATCAGGGATATCTCCAATCCCAGTTTCCTCCCGTACAGACCGGAAGGAGTATTCCTTCAGCGGACGACGGAAGAGCCAAAACAGTGTATAAATGCAAGTCAAACCATACATCCCCAGGAAAAACAAGTAGGTGATGGCTAGTTTAGAAAATAGGTGAGCTTTGGTGTGGTTGCAGCAGAAGCTGTTGTATCCAGTCATGTCTTCAGTGTGTACACTGCAGGGGACAATGAAGTGTATTTGTGTTACCAGTACAGCATTGTAGATTGTCACTAGTACGAATTTGCAAGATTTCAGTATCGTCTGACGCATATACATGGAATAAAGAAGATCCCCTTCTTCTATATGATGCCTAAACTTTTTGACTCTCTCAAAAAGGGCTTTGGCTTGTTCTCCTTCCTTTTTGTCCAAAACACTAGCTGAAGGCGTGTCTGCCACCAGCTTTTCTGGAACTGGAAGTTCAGCACCTGCAGGGCCGTTCTCCTCAAAATTAGGCTTCGAAAGCTCTCTGTCCATGGGTTTCTCCTGGCTGCTTTCTCCAGAAACCTCGGAAAGAGCTCGAGTTGTCCACGGGGATTCAAAACACTTGCCTAAGATGGAGATGAAGTGCTCTATCTTGGAGCTTGTACCAGGAAACTTGAACCAGAAGTTGCCAAAAATAATAAACACAAGGGTATGAATGACCACGAGGTATGGGAAGTATTTGGCGTACCAGTGCAGGGCTGTCTCATAGCACATTTGGTTTATGAAGCTGTATTGCTGAAGGTCCAAGTTGTTTTTCAGTCCACTCATCACACGCGGAGGTCCCGAGGCAACAGGTGGGGGAGGAGTGAATCCAGTCACATCTTCTTCAGTAGTGTTCATGGCTTCTGTATTTTGGATGAACTGCTGACAATGTATTTGGGAAACTCTCTCTGCTGAGATATGATTTGGAAGACAGATGATTTTGTCCTGAGTTATCTGTTGAGACAAAAAACAAAAATGATTTAGAAAAGAGAAAAAAAAAAACCAACATACTAAAAAGGCATTTCGTTCACTACCCACAGAACCAAATAAGAGTTTCAGAAGACTTTCAGTAATTGAATTTGGAGCAATTTTCCAAAGTGCTATAAATTTCAGATTTTCTGGACTATTAGTCCTCATTCACACGAGAAATGGCCGGCACGTACCGCTCCGTGCACGGCAGTATCGGGCAGCTCCCGGGAAGGACGGGTGCTGCGTGTGATTAGTACGCAGCCCCTGTCCTTCTCTATGGGAGTACGCGGCCGTATGCTGCTCTACGTGTCCGTGTGGGTGAGGGTGTCCGTACTCGTACACTGACGGGATGGATCACGTCTGCTTCTGAGCCAGGACACCCGCATGAACCTGCACTTGCGTAGAGTGTAGGGTGAACCAAGGGTGCTGCTCCTTACCAGGTTCGCCAGCGGTGGCGCAGGGCACTGGGTTCCCCTCCTCCTGGCGCCAGGGCCGCATGCTTGAAAGTATAGTACACAGGCTGCACGTGCGTGCACGGGGGCGCAAGCGTAGCGCACCTGCGCCACTTAGTGCTTTCAGGCATTAGCCCGGTTGGGGGAGGTCCCCAGCACACACCATCCGCCCAGTCAGCCCTGCTATTGGCTCCTGGTTAGGGAAGCTTCCTGGTCGCCTCGGCAACCAGGGTGTGGTCCTTGGGTTCCCTGTGTATTTCAACCAGACAGAGCCTTGGCTGATTGCCGAGTTATTCAACCTCTATGATGTGATCGCCAGCTCCCCGTGTGTAAACCTGTTGCTTCCTGAACCCTTGCCTGAACCCCCGTTATCGACCCTTCGGCTTGCCTCCTCGCCTCTGAACCTCGCAGCCTGCCTTGACCCGGACCTGACTACGCTTTTGGGTTTTCCCTCTGTACCTTGTTTTTGGACTCTTTGTCCCTGCCAACAGGTTCCACTCACGGCCCAGCCGTACAACCCTGACACTGGGTCCAAAACAAATAAAGTGAAACAAATTAAGGGATTTACTTAAAATGACTAACATTTTGATGACAGGGGGAGGGAGGAACCAGGGAAAGCAAAATACAACCAGATTAAACTCCAGCTTTGGGCTCTCTAGGTTCATATACATGAAGACAGATCAGATTAACAAGGCACCATTTGTACAGGAAGTAATAAATCAGCAGCGTGAATGTCTATGAAAGCCATGCTAAATTACACAGTTTACTGGCAAGGAGAAGGAGGAACCTGATGCAATTTACCCAGGAGGAGTAAGACAACACACTAATGGGATAACTGCTCTCCTACAATCCATTACAATGGAGGGAAATGGTGTTTAATGTACACGTCTTCCATTGCATGTAAAAGTGTTGATGTGCACGGCCAACAGACGTAGTGTTAGAGATTAGCTCCTCAGCATAAAATTAAACACAGCTCATATACCATCCATAGGAACGTCAAGATCTGCGATTCTCATAGCAGTCAGCAGTTTTCATTATAAGAAACCGCTCCCCTGTATAGCTTTATAGTTCTTAAAGGATCAGTCCACCAAAAATTGGTATTGCATCTAAAAATTTCCTCTATCCCTCACGGACCCCTTGTGAAATCTCTGTGCCGAGTTCCTGGAGAAACTGGAACACGCCAAGAGAGAATAACCAAAATTCCCAGACGGACGAGAACAGAGTTGGGTATTATAGTAGGGAGTGAACACTTGGCATTAAGGCGGTTGAAATAACCGAGACATAAGAAGAGCGTGTCCGACTCCACCCACCAGGCTCCTCCTTTGATTACAATATCCTTGACTCGGACCTCACCTTTCTTCCCCACATCCAATCACTATCCAAATCCTGCCGCCTTCACCTCCGTAACAACTACAAAATACGCCCCTTCCTCACCAAGGAAACCACAAAATGACTCATCCACTTGTTATATCTCGTCTTGACTATTGCAACTCCCTCCTCATTGGCTGACCTCTACACAGGCTCCGCCCCTTCAGTCTATCATGAATGCTGCTGCCAGACTTATCCACCTAGCCAACCTCTCAATGTCTGCAACTCCCCTCTGCCAATCCCTCCACTGGCTTCCATCCCCACCCCCCTCTGCCAATCTCTCCACTGGCTTCCATCCCCCACTGGTTTCCAATAGCCCAAAGTTCAAAATATTAACCACTTAGAAAGCCATCCACAACTCTGCCCCCGGCTATATCTCAAACCTTGTCTCAAAGTATCACCCTAAACGTCCCCTCCGCTCTTCAAAAGAACTCCTGCTTTCCAGCTCCCTCGTCAACTCATCCAATGCTTGTCTCCAGGACTTCTCTAGAGTCTCTCCCATCCTCTGGAACTATTTACCCCAACCTGCCCATCTATCTCACACTGACTGACTTTAGGTGACCCCTTAAGACTCATCTCTTCAGGGAAGCCTATCCCAACCTAACCACTCAACCATCACATTCTCAAACAATTCATCCCTACACAGCTACCTCCTCATGTATCACTGGCCCCTTTCTTTTAGATTGTAAGCCCTCAGGGGCAGGGTCCTCCTTACCATCTCGTCTTGAATCGTATTGCGATTGTAAAGTCTTCCTTATATTGTAAAGCGCTGCGCAAACTGTAAACCCTGTATAATAATAATAATAATAATATACATTTTGGTGGACTTGCTGTTTAATTTCAATCCAACATGTAGAATAAGCCGGTATTATTGTACTGCAACTCGGCTGGGGTTTTGAGCAGAGAAATCCAAATCAAATGTTGTGCTTCAATGTGCTTCCAGTAGCGGGTTGGGTACCAGTGTGTTACGCACGATATAGGGTGATCGTTGAGCAAGGCAAGCTGGAAGGGGAACAGGTTTGGGTTGTGGTGCAGAACTGCGGTCGGCTAGCAGGAGTTACCTCTCTACATTTCACATGAACAGGGCATAGGTAAGCTTGCCTTGTACTTACTTATATAAAGTCAGCAGTCTCTAGCAGTTTCCTTAAACTTGGAAGCGGTCTTTAAGGGAGAACTATGAGGGGAGTGCTTTTCACTCACCTCATAGTTCTAGTCGACCTGTGACAATGAGACCGTCACAGGTCGGCTCAGTAGATCGGGAGGTGAGAGAACACATACCGGGTTCCCTCACCTATCGATCCTGTCACTGCTCTCTGCCGTGACAGGGGAGAGGCTGGATTCCCCCCGCTCCGATAGCGCTGACTGGCGGAACGGACGGGGGCGGATACAGCTGGCTCTGCCTCTAGATAGGCAGAGCCAGCTGTCAGTCACGCAGCTGGGCGGATCCAGACATAATTGTCAGGATCCGCTTCAGCGTCTTAGTATACCGCGAGCAGCAGCTTGCGGTATACTGCGGCGACTCAGTATACTCAGTATACTGAGCTTAGGGTGACGGGAGGACGCTAGTTTGTGTCCTCCCGTTACCCTAAGGAGAACTACGGGGAGTAGCCCTAACCCCATAGTTGTCCTTTAACAGTCTCCAAGAGCTTCTTTTAACATAGCAGCATCCTCTAACATAACAGTCTCTTATGACAGTAAAAAGGATAAAAGGAGTCACCAGCACCCAAAGATCCTCACGTATGTATTCATGGAGCTGGGCCACCATGAGAAAGGGACCCCGTGAGGCTCCAATACGTGGGCGGGGTTGGCTTATTGTATGCAACATTCCAGGAATAAATACAGCACAAAGATGTGCACTGTAAGAGTGGATGAAGACATGTAGCACGATTTCTATTGTCTGTCACATATAATGCTGTTCCAACACCTCTCTCTGGGCAGGTTAATAACATCACCTAGGCTCCAATTATGCAAATACAATCAACACCTGGTTGTGACTAACAGATTATGTGGATTGGAGCGACATTCACCATAATTATTCCCAGATAATTTTTGTACAAGCCATTCTGAATTGAGAAAGCTGGTTGGATGACCAATGAAACGTCTTCAAGAAAAATACAGCGAGTCCAGTTGACTTGAGTCAAGTCAACTGGACTCGCTGTATTTTTCTTGAAGAAAAAATTATCTGGGAATAATTATGGTGAATGTCGCTCCAATCCACATAATCTGTTAGTCACAACCAGGTGTTGATTGTATTTGCATAATTAGTTACAGATATACCCTGACCCGGATGAATGACAACCTTCACAGACATACTGGACTGAATTCATGAGTGTAACGTTCTCATTGTTCCAATCTACATAGTTATATATCCTGCACCATTGAGGAGCATAGGGCCGAAGTGAAAGACTTCCACTGTTAATGGTTCCCAGCCTTTGATTTGACCTGCAACCAGGTAAGTGTTAAGTCATTGATATCTACAGGAATAATCTACATACAATTAAAATATGTGAGACTCTTCAACCTCTAGTCGAAAGTCAGTGACATCATCCTTTCCCTGAGGTCCCGCATAGCGCCATCCATTGCATTCACTTTCAGCACCTTCTTACCACCTTGGTCATATTGTAATGAGTGCAGCCCAGAAATGTTTTATTGCATAGTCTCTTATGACAAGCAGTCATCTGTTCCTTACAAAGCTAATCTCCCTTGGTTGGAACGTCTTGCACCGCCTCACAGAGAAAACACAAGCACACAGTCAGATCTGCATGCTGCTCATGGCTTGAAAATAGGAAGGAAGCCACAGCTTTATTCTCTACAACAGAGTATATACCATAGATATAACAGAACTTATAAACACTGCCATCTAGTGAAGGAAATTGTATACTGCAGAAGTTGTTGCTATAAAACACAGTAATGTGTATTTTAAACACCCTTCTAAAAACAACAGTATCATGGCAGAAGTAAAAAAGGGCTTCCTTTGGAGCAAGGTTACAGTTATAAATACTGCAGGTGAGGTCGGGCTGTGGCTCTAAGGTAGAGATAGGTGAACCGGCCCAGGTATACAGCAAATATGGCTGGCCGGCAGCAAATCAGAAGCTCGCCACAGATTTGCTCCTCTACCGGGTGATCCACTCAACTCAGTGTACTGGTAAAGGGGCTTCTTCAGACCCCCTCAGCAGTGCACTTCCCTAATGCAGGGCGTCCTAGTAACCCTGCCCAATACAGTATAAGACTGATTACTTATTCCAGTAAGGAACCTTTGTGGAGTCCAAATAAGGGGACCTACACCACCAGGACACAGCTGACCCATGAGGCTGTGCTCTGCAACATCAATGAGATACAGAATTGCTCGCTAGAACATTTCTGCATTGATGGGAGGCCAGCAAATGTGGGCAGGAGGCCTGAGCTCTGAAAGTGAACACACAACACAGCATTGGACAGGTAAAGGGGCACCAAATGGTATTCTTTACCAGTTAACTTCTTGCTAGAGATCCTCAGCACATATTCCAATCTACAAAAGCAGATTGCAGGTTTGGATTTGGGGTGGTGGGCGAGGGTCGGGATGGTGTAGAGAAACAGACCAAGGCAGGCCTCCGCTGCACCTTGACATCTCTCTGCAAGCTTATAGGGTCTCATAGTGTTATAAAGTAAAGCGTCTGTGTCGTCCACCTCATTATTTTACCCCTACGCGACAAGCTGAAGCCCGATTTGCTTTCTATGGAAGACACATGAAGCCCTCCTTTAGTATTCCTCAGTATCACCTACCTGCAAGGTGCATCCGAAAACCCCAATCATGAGCATGGCAACGGTTATATATTCAGTCAGGACATCCCACCAGGGCTTCAGCACCTTGAAAGCCGGCTGCTGCTCGGTGAACTGCTTGAACTCGGCCACAGGAATCATGATGGCAGCAAGCTAACCTGAAAAGAACAAAAAGCGTATTGAATATGGACTTGCTGATTTCTACATACAAGAGCATACCCATCAGCTCATGACCCATGTAGCCAGCACGTACCCTGGATCAGATCAGCATGGCTATAGCAGTACACACGTTCCTGTGACTCTCTTCC